TCGTCAGCTCGTGCCGTAAGGTGTTGGGTTAAGTCCCGCAACGAGCGCAACCCTCGTGTTTAGTTGCCACTGTTGAGTTTGGAACCCTGAACAGATTGCCGGTGATAAGCCGGAGGAAGGTGAGGATGACGTCAAGTGGTAGAGCGCGCCCCTGATAATTGCGTCATTGTGCCTGGGCTGTGAGGGCTCTCAGCCACATGGATAATTCAATATGCTCATCAGCGCCTGACCTGGAGATGTGGATCATCCAAGGCACATTAGCATGGCGTACTCCTCCTGTTCGAACCGGAGTTTGAAACCAAACTTCTGATTTCTTTGGGTAGAAATAAGAGCCTAGAAGGAGCTATACAAAGCGGAAGTAACTCGGCCCCACACTTGTGTACATGAGTTTGTACGAGTTTTTCATGAACTTTATTTGTCGGTGTGGGCATATTAGAATTAGAATCTATGCCTCAATAGTCAATAATGATCTTGACTCTTCACTCTCTCTCCCCTTTTTTTTGTGTTTGTTTGAGGTGTAAAGTAATTTCTGCATTAACAAAATGGTCATGGAGCATATCTAGGTTGTCCTATCCACACAACACTAGAAACCAACTAGAACTTTAGAACTTCAATTTTTGTTCTTGAGAACTTTTTATTTTTATGACCAAAATTTTGAACATATTTTCAGAGTTGTGATTTGGAGCACATCTCATCTTTGACACCCCTAAGGGTATCAATGGACTGGTTTTGGATTGGACCCTGTCTAATCCAAAATCAATTTGGACGGATTGAATAGACCAACAAAACATAATGGATTGGACCAATTCGGTCCAAAATATTTATTAGATTGGATTGGACTTGATCCGTCCATAACAAATTTATATAAGATTGGATTGTATTAAGCCAATATCTAGTCTATTGATATAAGATAAGAATATATGTGTTAATGGACCAGAAACCAATCTAAATCAAAATGAATTTAAACAGATTGAATGGTCCAGACATTGAATTGGACTTGGATCGGATTGGACCAAATCCAGTCCAATTAACACCCCTACACACCCCTATTCATTAAACCAAAATCACATGACACATGCCTTAGAAGATGAAAACATTTTTTTTTTAACTAAAGTTATATCCAGATTTTTCTTAATGAGTATTAAGAGGGGGATATAACCTGACCTCTTAAAAGATACACCGTACAAACTAGCTTAAATTAAAATTTAAAGAAAAAATTATAATTATAGTGTGGGTTAAAGTTTTGGTTTAGTCTCGAAGACCTACGGATTTCTACATGAGGCAAAACTGTTTGTGTTTGTTCTACATTAGACTTGATTTCAATCTTTCTCTTGTAGAGATAGAGATAGCTTCCGCACAATCCTTTTTTGCAAATGTTTCACTAGTCCATCTTCGGTTGGCTAAATTTAAGTTTTCTATTTCAAGTTCATATTCTAGCTCAGTATTGTCAATCAAATTATCCGGCATTGCCCGTGCTACATCTTGACTAATCGCAAAACCATTCACCATGTCAAACACCTAGTGGGCATTCACAATTCCCATTAAGGGTGAGCAAATAGATTGGTTCTACCCTGAATCAAATGGAATCAATCTCGAACTGGCCTTCAAATGGCCCTACTCAATTTGTTACAAGATAGGGTCTGATTCTAAATTCTTGGAACCGACCCCATCCAGGCCGGTTTCAATGTCTAAAGGTTTACCCTACCCAAACCAGCCCAATAACTGGTCTTGGTGGAATCTACTTTGGTGGAATTAGCCTTGGAATCGAACTTATCTTGAAATAAACCAAAAAACACTTTTGAGACACTCATGGTTACAAAGGCCATGCATGGTCTCACTTGACCATTGAATTATTTAACGATTTGGTCATTTATTTGCATTTTAATATTTGAATGTGTATAATAAGTAATGTAAAAGTTAATATTGACAAAATTTAAATTATAATAATAAGTTTTGAACCATACATTAATATATCATGATAATCTACATATTAAACTACTCAATTTCATCAATAAAGACAATGTAAGTTTTAAACTACATATTATATTTGTTGAAAATCAAGTTTTTAAAGAACATGCTTCATTTTATTTTTTATTTTTTGAAGGGAGAAAGTAGAAAACTAGAAGTAGAACAGGTTTCACCTTGGGACCAACCCCAGAACCATCAAGTCTAGAATCGACCTTCACAAGATAGGTCCCAATTCCAAAGACCTTAGAACTGACCCCGGAACCACCAAGGCCAGAACCGACCTTCACAAGGTAGGTCTCGATTCCAAGAACCTAGAACCAACCCCTATAAGGTAGGTTCTAGGTTTCTACCATGGAAACGAACTAAACCAACCTTTGCTCACCCTTAATTCACATATTCTTTTCCTTCTAAGCAAGAGAGTCCTTTCATATAAGTTGCTATACTACATGAACTCCATTACTCGTGTAGCTTATTTGTGAGTTACCTCTCATTATTAGACTCCTGTTGTAATCCAAAGTACCAAACTCTTCGCACTATACCTCTATTTATTCGAGCAAAGCTCATCGGATTTGTCAATGGAACACATCCGTGTCCTCCCAAAGATTTAGTAGAATAACTCGGAAGTAAACCCAACCTATTCTCTTTGGATCCAACAAGACCAACTGCTCCTCAGTTGGCTATTGTTATTATTGCTTACTAATGGTTCATTTAAAATAAAAAAACTAATAAAATGATAAAATAGCTTGCATGGGCTACATTTTCTATTGAACTCACTCTTCCCCTGTCTTTTTCATTTTCTCTATCCATCTCTCTTTGAAACACCCTATTCTCTTCTCCCTTCTCCCTTGTCCTTAGCATGACTATTGTCTATCTCTATAACTGATACCTAGCTCTCTTCCTCTCTCTTCTCTCCCATCCTTCCTCCGTATAGGAAACTAATCCTCTATTTGCCTCTACCTTTTCCTTCTCCCCAAGGCCATTAAACCCTGAAAGCATAAGAAACATCTTTTGGCAATTGCCCCATTAACATGGTCATGTAAAACAATTGAAGGTAAGAAGGGCCATTGTTGGCATTTTCATTTTAACATCATTAATTAGTTGACAAGGTGTCTAGCAATGCTTAGACCTTAAGGCTACGTTTGGAAACAATGAAAATGGAGTATAAATTTCGGTTCAGGGTAAATTTGCATTCTGGTTCACTTTTGCCTGTGTTTGGCAAGATTACATTTATGCATTGACAAATGACAGACCAATGCATATTTACATTGATAATAAGATGTAAAAGTACATCAATAAAAAAAAAACAAATTTGCATTTAAGTGGGTTTTTGATAAAAAAAAGGGATTATAGTTGATAAGGGCAACTTTTAGATCTTATTATCAATAAAAATAACATTTTTAACATAATTTCTAAATTAGGGTAATTTTTTTACAAATATCATGAATCAATTGTGAGGTTCATTAAGAAATATTGGAATTGACATCCAAGTGAGAGATACCATCACTGATTAATGGGCTATTTTCCTTTTCCACAGGCACTTGATTTTCTCCTAGTCCCATTTAAAATAGCTGTGCTGAAATTTTCATTAAGTTCGTCTACATGAATGTGGCCTCTAAAACCAATATTTCCAAATCTTAAACCAGTGTTTTCAAACCATCATTGATTGAAGGTTAACCTGAAGGATGACCAGGTCCTGGGCTTTGACATCGTCATACTGGAAAAACCACTGACGTCCAGGTCTGTTTTCTAAACAATTGTCTAGAACAATTATGCAATAATGTGTTCACATTATTTGGAAAATAAATGTGACGAGGGATTCCTATATTCCGAAAAAAGAGAAACCATTGGACTTATGGGCTTTAAAAGGCTAGAACCCCAAGTTCCATACCTACCAATAATGAAATAAAACCGATCAGGAGCCAATGAACCGAGGAGACGTCACAACTCACAACCACTGACAGAGGGTATGTAATTACATTTTTAGGTAAAAAAGGATACACGTTTGAACCGTCTCTTTAGAACTGCTTGACCACGGATCATGGTTTTCAAAATCAGACCTGACCAGTTCGTTGTCCGGATCGGTTTTAAAATATCCGTCACGGATCACCCATTATCCCCATATTTTTCATAAATATTCTTTGACTAATCGAAGCGCTGAGGATTTGAGGGGTACAATTTGGTTGATAGCAATGGGAATCATCTATCTAGATAAAGAACAAAAAGAAGATGCTTAACATAACAAATCCTTCCTTTGGTAATTTCAAAACTTTTCTGATCAGTCGATATAATACAAAGATAATTGCTTTTGCCATGAATGAAGCTCTAAATTTTCTTCATCATGCAAACATTTCCATGGAGTAGAGAACAAAAATTAAAACCTAGACAAAAGAAAAGAAAAGAGGAAAAATTAAAATGGGTAAAGAAAACAGTATTACAAGTATATTCCAGATTTACAGTATGTTAGCCTCGATGCAATTATGAGGATATCACAAGCTCAGCCCATGCCAAAGGAGATTCCTTCAGATTGGCAGATACTGATACATCAATCCTGTTCTCCAGTATAGGGCACAACTCCTCCATGGATGGCCTTTTGTTGGGATCTGACTGAATACAGAGGCTAGCAACCTCACATACAGCTTTTAGATCATCGTATCTAAAATGTCTCAATTCAGGATCCACAAGGTAGGATATTACTTCTGGCAGCTCTAGATACTCCTTAGCCTGCAGAAGAGAGAAATATAACTTATAAAAAGTAAATAGCATGCTTACTACAATTGCTTGAGATGACATATAATCAAGTAGAACTTATCCAAGTTGACTGAGCTGTTTTAAAAGTACAATTAGGCATGTCAAATCTAGTCATACGAATATAGTGAATTCTTAGTGATTGTAATATTAAATCAAATAGACATTCAAGTCTCCTCAAGTCAAGTTTCACGTAGATCAAGCTGCTTTTTCCTCAGCCCTGTATAGATAATAGCCTAATACACATCTCAGAAAATGTTCAGTGAGAGAATGATGGTATCCACAATTGTTTCATGAAGATGGGAAGCATTATGGACCTCCTACTAGTAAGTAGATATTTTGTAAGACAATGAAGTAATGTATACACCAAGTAAGCAGAAAGGAAAGAACCAACAGTATTGATCAACAACAATTAGATGGAAAAAGATGGGTACCTACAAATACACAAATCCTGAATAGTTTCTTACCCAATCTACCAAGCACCCTCTGTCTTTGCAGTATGGAGGTCTCCCACTGATTATTTCTAGTAAGAGTACTCCAAAAGCAAATATGTTGCCTTGGACATCGAGATGTCGTTTATCTAGAGAATCTGGAAGACTACATAAAGAACCTACATTGCTCAAGGAACCTGAGTTCTTTTCTGATCTTTCAAGTACTGCCTTCCAGCTTTCAAAATCAACCAGCTGCAGGTTAAATGGACAGGGAGTCATCATAAGTAGAATTTTTTATACAGAAAAATTGAATTAAATTACAAAAAGCCAACTCTAGCTGTCAATAAATGTAAAGTGTTTCAATGCTGAAGATCTGAAAACCCATGCTATAGGTTTTCTCACTTGTAACTAGTAATGACAACCTTGGCATACATGATGCCTGAATATGAGAAATGAGGTCTGATTCCATTTCCCAAGATCCCATGGGCAGCCCATTTAATAAATTTTATCATGCATTTACCTTTAGTTTTTGAAGCTAAGTGACATTTCTCAATACTGACATCTTTCCAAGTTTAACTGAACTTCTAAAAAATATGGATTTTCTATAGCATGAATTGTTAATGCATACAAATCTTCATATTTTAAAAGTGTTAATTTTATAAAGTGCTATGCAAGTATATGCAGGATTAGGTGTTGTATTGGGTGCTTATTGTGTCTGACAGTGATACTCTATGCATGGATAGATATCCAGGTATGAAAGCTTGGCGTTGTAGTGTTCAATCCCATGTAAAGACCTGGAGACAAAGCCCTTTTCTTTCTTGTTCTCCCCTTGATATCTGTTTATTTTAATGAAATAAGTGTGGAAAAACAATTTTGCTCTAAAATATTATGCTACACTTTCATCCCTTTTACATTGAAAACCTTGCTTTCCAGTTCTACATCAAAACAAATGCATCATTAACAAAAAATAACAGAAAAGCTGACCTATAAGTCACACCTCAAACGACTGAAACCAGGTAATCTAAAAGTCAAGACTTTGGTCAAGTCAAACAAGTTTTTCAGGTTAAGGTCCTTGTTCTATTAATTGATGTTAACCAGTGCAGTTTACTTTTTCAGACTCGGTATTCCCTAGTGCTCTTTCTGCTAATAGAAATGATTGATAACTCTCAAGCACTTTGTTAAGTAATAAAGAACACTCCATTTTCTGATTTGGAAATGGACTATGTTCTAATCACATGTTGGCTACCTTCAGTACTTAAGTTAACAAAATTTAAAATTACACCTTTCTTTTTACCATCATCTATTCCTTTTTACTGGAGCCACTTATTTATTGTTTATGAACATCATATTCTATGTGCATTCGTTTAATATTTCACAATTACTGGAAATAAATTACATGCCATGTTGAAATCTAATCATTTTACTTTTATCTTCATGGAGTCACACTTCCAGATGCTAAGGAAAAATGGAAATAAGTTCATCTATTGAAATCTTGAAATGACCCCACTTCTGTCATTCCTTGGCAACTGGAAATGGTCCCATTTTAGATGGAAAACTGCTCTCAAAAGTAACGGAAAACCACAAGATATTTGTCCTGGTGTCATTCAAATATGGTGAAGAATTATCACCATTATAATGCAAACACTTGCTTGGCATGCCTTCCTGCACGACCCTATGATCACCATTTTGTCTATAGATTGTTACCTATGTTTATTAAACATGTAAAATAAAGAAACACAGAAATATATTCATCCATGTAATACTATGTACTGCAAATTATGCTCACTAGCATGCCATGTTATATGAGCATGCACACATTTTGGGCATGATAGACCAGATCCTTTTATCTAGAATGTACCCAGGTGAGCTTTACAGCCAAGTTGATTGTGAATAACTGAAAATTAGTCAATGCCAAGGACCAAATTGATCCACCTAAAGATTGCAACCTGTAAACACACACACACACACACATGAATAAGCAATATAGACATGCATATCATTTTTTCCTTCTATTTACGTATCATTTAATGTTTTGGTTTTTTGATTATCTATTCATGGATCTACTGTGCTGCTTTGTGTCATTCGCCCCAGCCTTAATTTTCCATGGTTATCTTGTTAAAGAAGAAGAAGACAGAGAGAACATCCCTACTTATGTTTTAGAATAGTTCAGTAGAGGGGACATTTTTTTGTCCCAAAAAGATGGGGAGAGTGAAAGGCATATTAGCATCAGCACAATATTTTTCTAATGCTTGGGCCATTGCCTGACATAAGGTGATTGAAATGCCTGTGCTTGCCCAGGCACCTTGGTTACATTAACTTTGGGTTCTCTATGACCAGTGCATTAGATACCTTCAATCAATGCCAGTTCCATTGTTATATAGATTAAATTCTTTCTGGTTTTAGCAAACAGTAAACACAATTGAACCCCTTGACCTAGTCTTGTCTGTGGGTTCAATTTGACTACTTCATTCACAACCATACTTTTAAAAGTGCTTCGAGCATACCTTTGGAGAGAAATCTTCTGTAAGATAGATAGAACTGGAATTTAGCTCAGATATTGAAAATGGAGGCTCAAGTTCTGTGTGCAGATATCTTAGGCCACGAGCAATGCCTATAATAATTTTCATGCGTCGAGTCCAAGACAACTGAGATTCTTCACCATCTGCATTCAAAACTCTATATTTAAGCAACAAAAAATTGCAAGTGAATAACTTCTCCATTTGTATGGGAGGTGGGGTATGGGGGAGGGCTGACTTACAATGGAGATGCTCATAGAGTGTCCCATTTGATGCATATTCAAAGACTAGCATCCTTGAAAATGGGTTGTTCTCCCTGCAATATCCCAGTAATTTTCCAGTATTCTCATGATCTAGTCTTGCTAAATCTGCCACCTGAAGCATGAGATAATTAAGGAATATGGAATCCTCTCTTTTTAAAATTCCAAAATCTAAAACTGTTAGGTGCCTCCATTGTTTTCTGGTATAGAATTCATTTGTCCTTAAAAGTTATTAGCTAGTTAAAGTTTACAAGCTAATAGTCAAAAAAGAGGAATTACCTCTCTCTGAAAATAAAGCTCAAGATACCCTGTCCAGTTTTCTTCCTTGATGCCAAGTGATATCACAGCAATCTCTGGACCACCTTTCGTGGTGCCTTTATAGACTAAGCTGTCTGGGGAGGATCCAATGATATTGCTAAAATCCTCACAGGCTACTTCGAGCTCCTGTCTGCTAAATCTCAACACATCCTTCAGCATCTCTGAATCTATGAGGCAACCAGATAACCAAAACAATTAATCAGAGTGTATACCTTGTGAAGGCACATAAGAAACATAAGACATGGATGAAACAAAAATTGCATTGACAGACTAACCTATGTATATTGCCATGCTATCCTTCCCATTTGATGTTTTCTTCCAAGGGATTATGACAGGGGATTTCCCTTTGCATCTTTTAACAGCGGTAACAATAGCAAAGAGAAAGAAGATACCCGAAAGGGTTCCTGTTACAATTTCTAGAGCTAGCAGCCAGGCAGGTCTATGATGAATAGGTTCAGGATGCCGGTGTTTTGAGTTGGTTTCTGCAAGAAAGTCATTAACAACCCTGCTTTATTTCAACAACCACATATAAAGAAAGGTCAAATGAAAGAACATGCATAAACCCAATATTTATACAACCACAGTTATGCTTCAAAAATTGAGAACTAAAAAAAAAAGATGAATCAATGGTTCAAATGAAGTAGAGGGGCGTAAAATTACATATTTAAATCTGACATGGACTTTGATAAACTGAAGTGACTGTCAGATATTTCAAAGGGCTTGGTCAAGTTGAAATTGCATTTATTAGATTTTTGTAGGAATAGGCAATACGAAGACTTTTGGTTTGTTTAGCCTGACTTGTGCTTCTCTTGGGGCTCTGTATAATATTATGCACTTGAGAGGTGTAGTCTTTACTTTGCTTTACTATGATAATCACTTGGTATCTATAGTTTCATTAAATTTGGAAGTTCAGTAGCCATACACTTGAAAGATACGCACCACATTGTGAAGCAGAACGCTGTTTAACATTTTTTTCTTGGAAGCAGTTCCCCTGAAAGCTTGTTCTGTAGAAAATTTAACAAGAGTAAGAATGCTTCCAGAACAAACAGAAATTTAATAACAAATGCTTAGATAAAATACCTTGGAAGATGATCCAGGCACCGTGGTATTCTCCCAACAAAGAAGTTGTATGAGAAATCTGCATTGTTTAGCCGATATAAACAGCAAAAGCCAGTGGACTGAGATAAAGATCTATGAAATTTAAACAGGACAATCGTGTCATTAGAATTCCATGAACAAAACATACAAAGACGTATTACCCAAAAAATAAAGAAATACAAAGAAGAAATTGATGTGCAATGAGTGGAAATTGATTTTTTAATATTTTTAGGTGCACAAACCCATGATTTCTTGTGTTTTCACATCTACTTATGTGCTTCAGATGTATGTCTTTTTGGTATGCCAGAGGAACATCTGGTCAGATGTATCATGTTTAATTAATTTGACATTTACATTCAGTAAATTGTTATAATTCCATGCCTGAATTGCAAGCAGACATGTTACAGACTTATATTTTACTTTATCCAGAACTTTAAATTTTCCTGCTTTTCTGATAGGCATCCACCATTTTGATACTAAACAGAGCAACAAATGAAGAAAATCTCCAAGTATTATGAATCTGAAACCCGAAACTCTGAATTGGGACTATCCACCAGTCAAACAAATCAGTTAAGCAAATGCAACTGATTTAAATCTAGTTGAGATGGATAGCAGATTCTCTGAGAAATCCAACAGGTTCTGCAATAATCTATGATAGACATGTTGGACCAATTCCTAGACATAGTCTTCGATGCTATAGCCTTATAAATGCAGAATAGAATACAAAGCAAGAAATTATGTAAATAAGTTAAAACGGTGAGGCAACAAGAGTCCATAAGTAAACAACAAACCATGATACTCATCAAAAGAGCATGTAGCATAAACTGAAAGCACCAAATAAATGCCTTTAATAAGACTCAAAAGGAGACTATTCTACTTACAACTCATGCATCTTAGACGTAACGTTTGAGTCACTACTTCCAGGGACAGTTCCTTTAAGTTTATTCCTATCCAACCGCACTTCCACGAGATTCCTCAAGTTTCCAAACTCAGGAGGCAAACTCCCGGTCAACCCATTAGACTGAAGGTTTCTGCAGCAGCAAAAGGAAATGGAATAAGTCAGAGTAAGTAAGGAAAAACAAACAAAGAAAGCAGCTCAATGGATCCATAATCAAATGTCATTTACATTTTTGTGAGGATGGTCAACTTTCCAATCTCCGGAGGAATTGCCCCTGATAGTTGGTTCATTCCCAAATACAAGATCTTGAGGTTTTTCAACATTCCAATTTCCTTCGGTATTGTCCCAAGGAGATTATTTTTCTGAAGAATCCTGGAAAAAGAGCAGTGTGTAAAAGTGGGTTCCAGTCCACAGTTTTCCAAAAGCAAATGTCAGAAAAGCACAATATATTGTGGTAGGTTGAAAGAAACCATACAGTTCTTCCAAGGAAGACAGATAGCCCAAGTCCGGTGAAAGAAATCCCCTTAAAGATGAATTAGAAAGGTTTCTGCAAAGCCCAGGCAAAAATAACATAGTTTTATCATCAGCCAGTTATGCTAATATGAATGTAAACACCTTCTCATTTGCAAACATGCATAGTTATTCTAAAATTTCATAACAAATTAGCTATGACTCGGAAAATTTGGTTATTTAGGCATCCCTATGGAGAATTGAGTCGGCAATTGGAAGAGATCTCAAGTCAATCTTATGGGTTTTGACGCTATAAGGTCTAATTTGGATCTAATGAAGTAGAAGATACTTTGCTTACAGCTTTATAACATGAACTCGATCCTTTGAACAGGTAATGCCTGACCAGTTGCAAGGATCTGGATCGAGGGAGTTCCAACTTGACAAAACCCGGGAAGGGTCCTCATATATAGCTTGTTTGAATGCCGTAAGAGCCGAAACTGTGTAAGTTAAAGAAAGCGAAAGAAAACATAAGAAAATTTCAGTAAAATAATTAGACCCAAAACAGGTTTCTTCTGGCAAGTAAAACAAACACAAATCAAAGCAAATAAATGCATTAAATAAAAAAAAAAAAAGCAAAATGTACATGAAAATTTTCATGGAAAAAGTTAAATAAATTCAACAGTAGTGTAGACATTATCCAGAAGAGTGTCCACCGTAGTTCATAATTGGAAAGAAGCGAGCTTAGAGTCGACAAAACTCGACATCGCAAGAAAGGAAAGAACAAAATATACCTTCATTATAAGCCAACGAACTAGAAGACGCGAAAAGAAGTCCCGAAAAAACACAAAGAAGCTGAAAAGACCCAAATGATCCCATCTTGTCCGCAATTGCCTATACTCTCTGCCTCTCAGTTTTCTTTCAAGAATACGAGGTTCTTACAGAAACCCAGAAACGGGAAAGAGCCATCAAAGCTAGAAACTATGAAAAAACCAAAAAAAAAAAAACACTAAAATGGAGATGAATTTGTCGACAAACAAAAACAATGAACCCCTGCTTCTACAACTTCCATGATATAGAAGAGGATGTGAATACTGAGCGCAAAGACCAAAGAGAGAAAAGCAGTGAAGACTAAAAGCGAGCAAGCTTGTGAGATTTTTGAAAGACAAAAGAGATAAAGAAGAAGAAGGGAGAAAGTGAGTGATGCGAGAGAGAGAGAGAAACGTGGGATGTTTTAATTTCATTGTTTTTGTTTGGTTTTAATTGGCGGTTTTGCATTTTTGATTTTATGTTTTTGTTAGTTTTTGAGTTTTGTGTGGGTCGTACCTTTTTATTTATTTATTTATTTTCATAGGTGCTAATGATTGTAATTAATTACTTACCTTAGGAGTTTCTCCTTAAATGAGAACAATTAAAATATCGCGACATTAAAACGAGAAATCATAAGTTGGAATTTGAAACTTGAAAACAAATGGAGATAACTGTCTGATGAAAAGACAGATGGGATCTGAGAATCAGGAATGCATTTGCAGAGCACCGAGGCGATACATGAATCAGATATTCAGATCCCACAGTGGCACAGAGAAGATCTGATAAAGTGATAAGAGAAAGAGTGTAATTTATCGTCAAAATATCACGAAATGATTTAAAGATCGGGGAGAGTTGGTTAGCTGTCAATTAAGAGGTCGGTGAGTTCACACCTTTCACTGCGGAATTGCACAGTAAATTATTTATTATTTACCGATTACCGTCTCTCAAATTTCAATCCCTATTTATTAATTTATTACCGGCCTGGATGGAATACGGAATTTTTTTGGCAGATAAGATGGAATATGGATTGGGTCACTTCCGTTTGTACTTTTTTTTTTTCTTCTTCTCTTAAATCCCTATTTTTTGGCAGCATTTAGGTGCCATTTGGTTCACGGGTATAGGGAGTCAGTAACTGTTTGGTTGGAAAGAATTAAAATCCATTCTCATCCTTGTGGAAACAAACATACCTATTAATTGACCCAAACGGTCACTCCCGTTTGTACTGTCTGTTTGAACCAAACATACCCTTAGCCATGGTTTTAAAACACGACCCGCAAAGAGTCGACGGTTTGATCGTCCTGTTCAAACAGATAGTCTGTTTTGATAATAAAAACTTTTAAAAAATAAAAACGGATTGATAGGTCAATGGTTCGTCTGCCTTTGACCGATTCAACGATTTGTGACCAAAGATAGAGTTTGAAGTAAAACGAAATCAGTTGTTTAGACGGTTCTTAAGCCAAACGGTCTGACCGTCTGAGTCAATGGCGATTCGAAAACAATACCCTTAGCAATTATAAATCTACTTAATTATATTTTAAAGTAAAAAAACACTCATACTCCATGAATTATGCTTAAATCCATGTCAAGGGTAACTTACAAGTAAACCAATTTGGGGTATGACATCTGAATGAATTGGACAATAAAGCTATTGAGCCTGAATTTCTCCGGAAACCTTTTCACGGATTCTAATTTCTAGTCCAGTTGTTCTCCATGAAAGATGACCCAGAAAATGAAGGTTGAACAGCTAAACATGTTCTTTTATGTAGCACAAATTCAACAGTAGATGAAGACCAGGTCCCAGAGTAGCACCTTTATTTTCTTTATTTTCTTTTCTTTACTCTCTTTTGTTCTTTTCCTCCTCTCCAGCATGGGTGTGTGCTAGGTGTTGAACCTAGAGACATTTGAACCTGGGGCATATATTTGGCCCATCTGGAAGAACTGTCTTCCAGCTTGTGTACAAGGGGAAGGGGAACTGTAAAGCCACATGGTTCCATGGATGGAGACCTTAATAATAAATGTTTATAGTTATAATAATTCGGTTCTCTATTAATTTAATGGTATTTTTTGGTTTCTTTATTTTCTTTTCTCTATTCAATAATTAAAGTAGCAGTTCTACTTCATAATAGAAATAAGAAGAAGATTGTCTAACCTTAAAGGGTCCTCCTCCTCAATCCTCGTTGATAATGCTTCCAAGTAAATCAATTAAAATTAGATTAGAGTGAGGAGAGATGATGGGGATTTGGTTTGTAGAGTGTTTTAAAAAACAAGGGTGAGCCGGTGAGATAGCTGTTTTTCCAAATTAATAAAACGTAGGGCATGTTGGGGCCACTCTGGTCTAGGGTTTGTTGGTTTTTAGCTTTTGAATGTCAAGCAAATGGGGTTTCTCCCTTAGCTTCTTCTCTCACTACCCATACCCATGTGCCCTCCTCAAAGGATTGACTGCCCTTTTGAGTGGGTTGCTTTACAGGGAATAGACTAGTTCCATCACAATATTTTCTTCTCTCTCTTTCTCTCAACTTTTTTTTTTCTTTTCTAGAAAGAAGTGAAGAAAAAAGAAAGTAGATGTGTTGTCTCTTTCATTTGATGAATGTAAATGCAAGATCAATCTCTCTGAAGGGTTTTAGATGGATGGGTTTGTTTTGATCTTTTAGATGGTCTTTGGAATGGTTGCCTTTTTGGGTGTTCCTGTTTTGCTCCAATCAATACCGCAATTACACAACATATGTTAATGAAATTTCTATTAAAAACCTGTTTGGTAGAGGCAATATCAATGTCGCCTTTCAAGTGTTCTAACTTTGTTTTTCAAAAAGCTTGTTGCGATTAAGATGTGACAACTCAAAGTAGTGTTGTGGAATTCTACTTTTTAAATATAACTTATTACTTATTAGTGGATGTGTTATTGTAAATACCACCCTCACTGAAACGCCAAAATTTTGTTTTCATAATTCATTAAAATGAACTTTTCTTTTTCATACTAACGTAGAAACGATAAAATGTTAACAAATTAAGTATTGTTTCCATCATTTCATGTACGCAAGCGTCATTTCAAGTAGGATGTTCACTGTTTGGTTAATCTAATTATGTGGTATTTTTTTTAAATGGATTGATATTATTGATTTTAAAAATCGTGAATCGAAATTGAACTGAAACTAATCAGTTAATCCATTGATCAGTTCAGTTTTTGACTGGTCTGGTTCTTCGGCTTCTCAATTTTCTTTTATATTTCAATATATATTATAAAAATATATAATTATATAATATATATATATACTATAAGTATACGACATAATATATATATAATATATAATATATACACAACCTCTCTTCATGTGTAGAGGTAAGGCTGCGTACACCCCCACATTGGAAGGAGCCTTGTGCATAGGGGCAGCCCTTTTATACATAAATATGTATATTATATTATAAATATTACAAATATATAATATATAATTTATTTAATATATTATAAATAGACAATTAAAAATATAATATATTTATATTTCTATATATACCGGTCAGTTTGATTGACCGTCAGTTTTCGTTTAGGTTAATCAAAAATCAAATTGGTACCACCGGTTTTTGCAAAACATTGAACTGAATCCCAAACCAATTGGTTCAATTAACCAGATTTTTCAGTGTGGTTTCCTCGATTGGATTCAATTTTTCAGTTTTTCGATTTTTGTTGAAAACCCCTAATTCCTAGCACTCCACTAATGAAAACATAATCAAATTAAACATCAATCTGAAATAGGGCTCAAGTTTTTTATATAATCATTGTATCATGTATCTAATACAATTTTTTTCTTCTTTAACTAAAATACATAAAGCCCCTCTGAAATTTAAACAAAACTAAAAAATGGTCCATTTAATTCACAGTGGAATCCTAACCATAATTGGAATTGAGATCTTCTACAATTGGAAGCGGAAATATCCCTCTTGCCTCTTTGGTTCAGGTTCGAATCAGATTCAGAATCAAAATTGGTTGGAATGAATTCCCGTTCCCAAGGGAGAGGGAGAGGGAGGAAATGGCCATTCCCTCAAATGGGGGAATGCCATTCCACTAGGAATAGGAATCAGATTCTAATTCCACCCAACCAAATAGTTGGAATCAAAATGGACTTTTTCGATTCCAATTTCAAACTCATATTCCCATGAACCAAACTTACCCTAAAAATCGCAAGGTTCAAAGTATTGAAACACCCCTCCTAGCCTATTGGGGTGTATTGATATTTTGAAACTTGATATCAAAAAAACAAATCAAACCTTAAATAGTTAATGCAATGCTGAGTAGCAATGGTAGAGCCAGGAAATTTCGTTTTTTTTTTTTTTTGGGAAATTGTCTAAAACTCATCATGAGTTTTCAGCATTTCTCTTAAACTCACCACAACTTTTCAAAATGTCTAAAACTCACCATGTCACTAACTTGACATTAAAGAGACTACGAGTGTTAATATATTACCATTTTAATCTTCATAGAAAAATATAAAATATATACAAAATAAATTAGTGGGTGTTAATATATTACCATTTTAATATTTAGACATGAAAAAGAATAAAGTTCAAAAAATATTTTCAAATATAAAATACATAAATACATAGAAATTAAAAAATATATATAAAAAATTTTAGAAAATTTAAATAAAATAAAAAAATATTTTCAAATTATAGAAACTATAGAAATTGAAAAAAAAAATTGTAGAAAAAACACCAAAAATTATAGAATAACACAAAAATTGTAAATAAATAACAAAAATATAGGAAAATTTATAGATTGTAGAAAATAGAAATTATAAAAAACATTGGAAATTATAACAAAACACTAAAAATGCAAAAAAAAAAGAAAATTGAAAACTGAAAAAGACCATTTTCCTCTAACTCACCATTCAAGGGTAATTTAGTCATGAAAATTGTTATGTATGCTGACATGGACACCTCTGTTAAGAAGCATTAATGGTGCACTAACAGAAGGTGAGTTTTGGAAAATTAAAACTTATTGACATAGTGAGTTTTAGACATTTTGAAAAGTTGAGGTGAGTTTAAGAGAAATGTTTAACACTCATGGTGAGTTTTAGACAATTTCACTTTTTATTTGGAGGGGGGGCGAGTTAAACAAGAAAATGAGATAAGGGATAGAAGATGTAGGAATTTTAGAAAAATAGCTTGAGAAGGTTTGGATCTATTTCAATTTTTTTAAAGAAAATAAACAACTATTTTTTAAGGGCAAATTTCTTAATTAACTACCCCTACTATTTAGCTAATTGACAAACTGTACTCTTACTATTTAACTATTGTTTTAAACTACCCCTACTATTTTTGATAATTGACTAAACTCTACCCTTATTGTTAGCATCCGTTAATATTTCCTAAACATCCATATTTAAAATTCTTTTAAAACCCACTATTACCCTCATTCCCTTCTTCTT